AATATACGTTAATTTAAATAAACAAACAATTATATAGTTTTAAAACTATATATATATATATATTAAAATTTTAAAATTATTAAATTTTTAATGAGAAAGACTAAAATTCCACAATTATGATATTTAGGAGATTAAAATTGTTCAATTAAAAATTGTGAGACTAAAATTACACAATTATAATCTTTTAAGGACTGAAATTACTCAATTAAAACCTTAGAGATCAAAATTGCATAATTATAATATCAAAAACACAATTAAGTAAAGAATATTTTATTCACAGTTCTGGAACGGGCCGTTTTGAAAAGAATTCCACGTGGATGCCACGTATGCATCTACGTGGCATCCACGTGGCCAAAAGTTCACTCCATTTAAATAATTTGGACGGAAGTCCCACATTGAAACTAATTAATTAATTTGGGACTAAATTGAAACCAATTAATTAATCTGGGACCAATTTGAGACCAAAAATTAATGAAGAAGGGACCAAAATAGGGTTTTAGCCGTCATATATAATATCCATATTCTATGTTGTTTGGTGATTTTGAGGTATTGGATGATGTGTTATACACTGACTAACTTACATTTTAATGAAAGTGGACAGCTACAACTTTAAAAAATAAAAAAATAAACATCAATTTAACCCTTTTTAATGGGTTTTGGGACCTAACCATTTATTTTATGAGATTCCAAGTCAAGTCTATTAGATTTTAAGAAAATAATGTCTCAATGTTATAACTAAATGAGCTCGTTCTCTTAATTTTAATATTTATTACAATATATAATATTAAAAAATTTTTATCATTGTTATTATACTCAGCTGGTTGAACAGAAGACCGCTGCCAACTGCTGCATATGCTCACCTCACGGAAGAAATTCAGAAAAAAAAAAAGAAAAAAAAAAGAAGGAAATTTGTGCTTGCAAAGAGTACAACCAGGCCCTCCTAATAATGTTTTGATATTTGACCTCTAAACAAAAAATCAATCTTGATGTATTTTTGATAAACTTTACTATTATACTACATAGTTTATAAAAAATATTATATATTTAATAATTGTAAGTTTGTTTAATTCATTAATTCAATCAAAATATTGATTCAATTACTGATCCAATTTTGATAAGACTGCTTTTTATAATAATTATTCTTAAAATCATATTTAAAACTGTACCGGGAGGACCCTATCGGTCACGTGGACCAACACGTGCCGCTCCATCAGACACTCACGCGAACTGAACCATGTCTATGTAAACCTTGACGTTAGCATCGGCTTAGCATACAGCCGAAGGCCGAGAATAGTCTACTAGCAAATATCGGCTCGACTGAAGGCCAATGCAAACAACACCATGATGCATCTCCGTACACTACGTATTGGCTCGGCCAAACGCCAACCAAGTAAGGTAACCGAGTAAGCATTTGTCGGCCCGGTCAACAGCCGAGGACGTGCAACTTCCCAAGCCTTAGCTTGTCGGCTCGGCGAAGACACCCACGCGTTATAGTACAAATCACAGTTAACAAGGATAAGCGCATGATTAAGACTTGATTAGCTGATTAGCATTGTATTACCTAATTTGGTAAGTGTCAGAAAAGGCCCACCATGGTCAGGCTCATGTCAGGTATTATAAATAGGTCGCACGTAACGAGGTACGTCACTGTTCATTATTTACCCTAGAAAATCGTGTTTGTCCTGACTTGAGCGTCGGAGTGCCTTTTGCAGGAACCTCCCCCCCTCTGAAGTGTCCACCAGAAGTATCCGTTCGGCCCTTCACCACCTAGAAGACTACGAGTGTACCCTCAGACAGGTACATTTTGGCACCCACCGTGGGGCCAAACCGATAGCTTTACAGAGACAAACTGAGCATTGCGTTGAAAGAGAATCATGGCAAAGACAAGGAGAACTAACGTTGAAGACCACCAGTCCGAAGATGAGCACCGGTCCAGGGTAGACAATGCCGAAACAGTAGAGGAGACAAACTTGACCGATATGGTACGCCAAATGAAGGAAGAGATGGCCGCCATGAAATAGCAACGAGAGAGAGATGCTGCCGAGATGGCTACGTTGCGACAAGAGAATGCCACCCTCAAAAACCAGTACTGGGATCCCACATGGAAACCCTCTGAGACAACCCACACTCAAGGGTCGTTTCACTCGCACGGCCATCACACCTCTATCCCCCACACTTCGGTTGCTGCCCCAGGTGTCCATGTCTCGGTTGGGCGGCCGGAGCACACTGACACCCTTTTACCCCAAACATCATGCAGTCTGCACTTCTTGACCATTGGAAGTCCTTGCCACTCGACAAGTACGATGGTAACACCGACCCAGATGAGCACGTCGATGTGTTCTTAACTCAAGTTACTCTGAGCACTACTGATGACGCCGCCTTGTGCCGAATCTTCCCAACATCATTAAAAGGGCGAGC